AAATTTTTGGTGACAGTTACTTGCTCATCAGATGTAGCAACAGCAAGTGACTGTCACCTTAGTAAGTACAATTGTAATATATTTAAGCTTTTAGAATTAAGCTATATTTTGGATATCTAATTCATTTCTTGTTCATTCATTTTGCTTGGATTCAGATGGGAGATTTAGATCCTCACAGAATTCATATTATTCTTGTTCATATATAATATATTGATTCATCTCTCTCTCTCTTTCTCTTTCTCTCTCTCTCTCTCTCTCTCAGATCGCATGAATGACTATATTTGTTGAAAATGAAAATTTATGGGTTTAAATTAATGAATGAATGAAAAAGTGAGTTAATTTCTGTAGATGCAAAGATAATAGAGAGAATCTATAAAAAAATATTTTTTGATGATGACACTTAAGTGATGACATTTGTTGGATTTTGATGATAAACACTAACTGATAAGACTTCTTTGACCCTCTTTACAGGTGATATATCTGTAGAGTTAACTTAGGATTAAGTTTATCTATAGAGTTAAACTTTTCAATAATGATAACCTAATCATAATCTAGTAACATTGATAAAATTTGACAACGATCCATCACTAGCTATCATTTGTATTAGCGCCTCATTGGAACATTGATAATTATGTTAGGCTTATGAATAAAATTTAATGCCAATTATATTCCAATTGGAATTAATTAATTGGTCATATTAATTGTTCCAATTTAACTCATATCATAATTAATCATAATTAGTCATATCATAAATTAGGTAGAATATTCTTTATAGGAAAAATTTTAATTCTTCATTTCTCTAATTCATTCAGTAACCATTTCAGTATTTGATATTTTGACATTCCTATTTTGTGGAATCAATTATCCAAGCAAAAAAAAAACTTTTTCATCAATTATCCATTTGGAATTCAACATTTTGAAGCAAACGACGAATTTAATGCTAATAAATTCTTGCATTAATCTTTTATTTTTGCATTTTTGGAAAAGATTAAAGCTTAAAGCTTAAAGCTTAATTGTTGAAATAATTTAATTCTAAAATTATTCCAATCATATAAGAAATTATTTTGTAATGGCTATTACAAAAAGTGTTGCAATAAAAGTTGAAATTAATTATTTTAAAAAAATTTGCATTTATTTGGAAAATTTTAAGAAAAAAAAAGGAAAAGAAAATTTTGTTAATTATTAATTTGTAAAAAATTTTTTTAAATTTTTGTAAAATTTAGACTTAAATAATTATGGATTATTGATTGATTGTTTGGATGTTTTAACATTTTTAGCAATAAATATTTTATGATTACCCTCATATTGTTGACCATTTCAAAGAGCTAATGAAGTAATAAATGAAATTGAATTATAATCTCTTCTGCAAATATGAGCAGAAAAATAATAAATACATTACTGAAGGATTAAACATATACTATGCGACAGATGTGTCATTTCATTTGTACCTTCTTATTCGTAGTAATTACTATGGTTTCGAATCAATGAAGTCAGTATACGAATTGCTCGTCATAACTAATAATTAAATTCAAGAATCCATTACGTAAGGCTCATTACTTTATTATTATTATTATTATTATTATTATTATTATTATTATTATTATTATTATTATTATTATTATTATTATTATTATTATTATTGTTATTTTTATTATTACTATTATTTTTTTGTCACTGTTATTATCACTATTATCATTACTATTATTTTTTGTTACTATTATTGTCACTATTATTATTATTATTATTGTTATTACTTATCATTATTATTAATTATCGGCATAAATTTTCCAATCACAACAACAGACACGATAAAAGATTTTACAAATATCTTAGAGCTACAATATAAATGGATTATTGAATAATTGTCGCCTTATTAATGATACTTTACCTTTAACCGCCTTTCCTTCAAATTTCCCTCCATCTCTTCTTCCTTCCTCCTCCTTCCCTTACCTTACCTTTTTCCTTCTAATTATCCTTTCCTTTCATATACGTTTTAAAAAAGAAAAAATCATCATTTATTATCTCAACAAAATTTGTCACATCCTATAATGTCATAGTTTTTTCTACATATCATAGCCTATAATAGCTTATAAAGCGTTACATTTGATAAATATGATTAGATAGATAATTTAATTTTTAAATATCTGCTATTACCTAAAAATACATTACAATGTTAAAAGATACTGTAGAATTCATTCCATAATTTTGGCTTATCATTAAATGTTGATAAATTTTACTTATTATCTAATTAAGTTTCACTGTTATCATTATTATTATCATTAATTTTAAAAAATTTTTATCCTTACAAAACATCGCCATATATTTTTTTTCTTTCATTGCAATATTTGCTATTTTCTGATTATATTCAAATTATTTTTCTTTAATTCATTCCAGAATATCAATACTAAGATCGTTTTGCATAATTTTTGATAATGTTAAGATTCTTTTGATAATTTTTGATAATGTTAAGGTTCTCGTTGAAAGTTTTAATAATGTTATGGTTCTTTTGATAGTTTTTGATAATGATAAGATCATTTTGATAATTTTTGATAATATTAAGGACCTTTTGATAATTTTTGATAATGTTAGGATCCTCATAGTTTCATCATAGTTTAAGATCCTTTGATAATCCTTTTCTAATCCTCTTCTTTTGATGAAATGTTATTCTGATGGTAGTGTTAAATTTATTTCTTCAACTTTATCAACAAACTTTTCCAATTTTTCTTTTTTTCCATGAATTGCATTTCCATTAGTAGACTGATAATAATTGCAAATAAACAGTTGTGATAAAGACTTGAGATTATCAGCGAATATTCATGGATAAAGCAGATCATTCGATTTTAATTATCAGATTTTAATTAGATATTTTATTAGATAATTTATTATTTAATTATCAGATTAAAATCTATGAATTTGTACAAATGATTCATCACTTTATAATTGAAACATTTAATTTTTATTATTTTCCTTTATTGTATAATGAATTATTCACATGTGGGGAAAAAAAAAGTCATTTATATGACTAATATTGTAAAAAAAAAAAAAACTTTTATATTAGGAATTTTTATATTTAATCAAATTCACTTCTATTTATTTTCAGATATTTCTATAATACAAAAATATTTTAATTATTTTAATATATTTTTTATTACAAAAAAAAAATATTTTGATTATTTCTGTAATATTGGAAATTTATTCCCAATTTTATTTTATATTTAATTTCAATTTTAGTGAAAAAAAAAATTTCTTTTTTTCCTACCGCATATTTAACAATTTGTTTTGTTTTGATAAGAAAAATACAATCATTGCTTTACTGTTAATAATAAGAAATTTTATTTACAGCAATACTTGAAATCTTTTTTTTTAATTTTCTTACAAAACATGTAATTATTTATATGTGTTAATTTGAAAAAAAAAATGTATTTGAATTAATTAAATGTAATAATTTGATTAAATATTATATTACTTGTATGGAATAAAAAAAAAATATTGTATTATCAAATATTGTAATTTGTCGAAGGAAAAAAAAACATTAACATATTGGTTAAATGTGTATTTTAATTAATTAAGTTTGAATTAATTGGGGTAAATTAATTAAATGTTGCATTACAGAATAGTTGATTAAAGAGAAAAAAAAACATCATCATATTACTAAAAATGTGTATTTAATAATTTAATTAAAAATTGTTTTATGGAATAGTTGAGAAGATATTCATATATTAATTAATTATTTAAAATTTATTCAAATAATACTTACAATTAGGTGAAAGTAAAAACTGAAATTTAATGTGCAAAAAAAAAAACGAAAAAGTTTCATTTTGTATTAATTTAACATATTACCCTAATCTATCATATTAAAGGTATTTAAGGTAAGTATAATTATAACATTTAAATTTCAATTGAAAGGCGAATTTTTTAAATAATTAAAATTTTAAATTTTAATGGATCTCTAGCTTAATTGAAAATCCATACGGTGATAATTTAAATTTAATTTTTATGGAAATTGTAATATACCTGAATTAGCAAAAAAGCTTACAGTATTAAATTAGGCAAGGAAAAAGAGAAAGAAATATACATGCATCAAATACATATTAACATAATTAATTACCTGCACATAATTACCTGTATAATGTAAACGTAATTTCTTTTGCTAATACATTAAGGAAGGAATTAGTTACTTAATTAATTTCGGACAATTTCGTTCACTCACTTTTTGTCAATACAATAAGGAAGGAATTAATTAACTGCTCAATTAATTTTTGGACAGTTTTATTCATTCACTTTTTGCTAATACATTAAGGAAGGAATTAATTGTTCAATTAATTTCGAACAATTTTGTTTTCATTCATTTTTTGTCAATACAATAAGGAAGGAATTAATTAACTGCTCAATTAATTTTTAGACAATTTTATTCATTCACTTTTTGCTAATACATTAAGGAAGGAATTAATTGTTCAATTAATTTCGAACAATTTCGTCTATTCACTTTTTTTTTATTATTATTATTACTTTTTTTCTTTCTTCTGAAATTTCTTGCGAAAAATGAATTGTTGTTAATCGAATTAATGAATCATTCATTGTAGCAATTAAATAAAACATTCATAAAATGTAATTACTTCTATTTCTAAAAGTAGCTTTTTTTACTTCTAAAATACTTACCTGAAAAACAAGTTTCTAAAATAGGTTGGAACCAAAAAAAAAAAGAAAAAGTAGTAAAACGGTAAAAGACATATTTAAGAACATCCTAAATTTTCACCTG